AAATCAAAATATTTAGAGATTTGCATTATTTGTCTTGGCAGGAAGGAGCAGCCAAGACTGAAATACAAAATCTCCCTTCAAGGAAGGAACAGAGTTGAGGAAAACAGTGAACAGGGAGAATAACAGAGATGTCAAATCCTCCAAGAATTCCTTTTGCGATGAATGGGAGCAGGAAACACAGCCCAGTATATCTGAAAGGAGAGAGAATTCATTGAAAATATCTATGCACATTTATATTCCTGATAGAAAATACTGATTTTTCAGAATGAATCTTGACATTTCCATCAAACCCGTATTTGAATATTGCAAGAACATCCAGAACATTCAGCTAAAAGCAGCTCCAAGCTGGGCTGTGTTGGTGTGAGCTGCATCAGCGAGGATGTCTCCAGCTCATTCCCCAGCCTGTTCTCCTCCTCTCGGTTTTATTCTCGTCCCTGTGTGGAGATGTGTAACAGGAACATTAAGATGGGTCTGAACAGGGAATGTGTGCAAATGTTGGATCTGAACACGCTGGTAGAAAGGGCAGCAGCAGGAGAATGAAAGTGGTAGATGTTGGTGGCACTGAAGTTAGCAGGTCATCAGTGCAACATGATCATCTCATTTTGCCTCATCCCAATCTGATCTCAATCTCATCTCTCCATGTGGTTTCCCAGTCTGCCTCCAAGCCTGTTTCTAGCACCCCCAGCCTCAATCTGCCGTCTGTTGCTTCAGGCAGGGGTGTCAGTCTTGGTTTGTTATCTCAGGCACCTCAAGCTGTCTTGTGTCTCAGGCAGCAGGTCCAGCAGTCTTCCATGGGGACAGTGGTGTACAAGGGGGCCTGCACTGTCCAGGCAGCTCCTGCCCACACACCCTGCTCCCTGCCCAGGAGCCCAGCGTCACCTACACCTTCCCCAGCATTCTTGAGCAGCAACTCAGGGGTTGGGAAAAGAGTGCCAAGGGCTCCCGGAGGTGGGGGAAGCATGGGTATAGGGTGAGGGGAGTCACTTATGGCTAGGCTGGAAGTGCAGCATGGCTGAATCGGGCATGGGGATGGAGAGGAGCTGCTATGTCTCTGCCCTAGGCATCCTGCGAGCACGAATGGACAGATGTTGCAGAAAGAGCTGGAATGGGAAGCCAGAGGTGCGGTGGATTTGGGATTGTGGCTCAGCATACACCTTCTTTTCAGGCTGATCCTGCTGCTGGTGCTAGCATCTCATGCCAGGCATGCTGCAGCCTGCCTGGCCCCTTCCTAGCATCTCCCCAGGACAGCCACTCTCTGGAGGCTCCCTGCTAGATTAAGCTACATGCTTCAGGCAAGATGAGAAACCCCTGACCCCTCAAGGGATGGAGCAGCAGCAGGCTGACATCTTCCTAGGCCCACTCTGTGCGGTGTAGGGGTGAGCGGATCCAGCCCAGGACATTGGTGGTGGGACCTCATGCCCCTGGAGGTGCAAGGTCTCATCCTAGCAACAGAATGGACTCTGGAGCACAGGATGAGGGGGATTATAGGGCAGGCAGGATCCCAGATGAATCCTGAGATCCTCAGCTGTTCAGAGCAGCATACTGCGAGTCCTTCTTTGCCACAGGCAAGAAAAGCCTCAGCCTTGACTTGAGCTGTCTTGATTCACTCTCGCTCTGGGAGTTCAGCCTTCAGCATGATCTAGGATGGCAGCGATCCCATCAATGGGGAAAGAAAGATGCAGAGAAGGAAATGCATGTGCCAAGGTCTTCCCTGCTGCAAAGGCAAAGCTGGGGACCGAGCTACAATGGCTGCACAGGAACCCTGAGTTGTGGGCGGAATGGAGGCTGCCTCCTTGCTGTGTGATGGGAGATGCCTGTCTCTGCTATGGAAGCATCTTTCCAAAAGCCCCACTGGCAGCGTGTGTCCTGTGGTCCCAGGGCTCTGCGGGCAGACCCTCCCCAGCTGCCCGTTCTCCAGGCTTGATCAGGCTCCCTGCCTCCATGGCAGCAAGGCACACACGTGTGGCCTCACCCTGGTCAGTTTTGTTCATAGAGTCATAGAATTATATAGAGTGGTTTGGGTTGGAAGGGACCTCAAAAATCATCCAGTTCCAATCCCCTGCCATGGGCAGGGACACCTTCCACTACACCAGGTTGCCCAAAGCCTCATCCAACCTGGCCTTGAACACTTTCAGGGATGGGGCAGCCACAACTTCTCTGGGCAACCTGTTCCAGTGCCTCACACCCTCATTGTAAAAAATTTCTTCCTTAGATCTAATCGAAATCTCCCCTCTTTCAGTTTAAAGCCATTGCCCCTTGTCTTATCATTACACACCCTTGTCCAAAGCCCCTCTCCAGCTTTCTTGTAGCCCCTTTAGGTACTGGAAGGCTGCTAGAAGGTCTCCCTGGAGCCTTCTCTTCTCCAGGCTGAACAACCCTAACTTTCTCAGTCTGTCGTCTTAGGAGAGGTGCTCCATGCTTAGTAACACAGTGTTTTGGTGAAACAAAAGGCTCTGTGTAAAACAAATCCTGCAATGCCACCTAGCTCACACTTTCTAACAAGTCTGATTCACTTTTTCAGTCTACTAAGATGTGGTGGTGGTGTGGATCATGCCCTGAAGCACTCAGGAGCCCCAGGCCTGGAATCAGCTCACCTTCAGTCCGTCCAGGGCATCTCTTCATTTCCCTTCTACTTCCTCCTCTGGGCTCCTACAAGGCCACCACTTTGGACAGTGGTTTCTATTTCGTCATCCTCCTCCTACGGAGGAAGAGGCCAGATCCCTTTCTTCACTGGACCATCATGAAAGGCAGCCTGCCTGTGTGGCTTTCTCACTGCAGCTGTGGTTGTCCAGCGTCCGGACACATTCAGTAGCACCAGGAAGACCTCACTCTTCCTCCGCTCTCCTGCTGCTTTGTCTGCAAGCCTTTGCCTGAAAGTCAGCAGAGCCCTGCTGTAGGGATGTAGCAATTCCAACAGGAGTTTCTCTGCCAGTGCAGTGACACCACTTCTGTCCCAAACAATATGAACTAAACCAGCAAATCTCTTCTGTGTGTGTCTGTGGCTGCTGGGACAATGACAAAGCAATGTCAGGAGGGTGTTGGTTTTACACTGCTGGAACCAAATAATCATCTAAGCCAACTCTGCTGTGCCAACATGGTCATGAGCTTCTAAAGCTCTTTGTAAACATTAATGGCCGATGCTCATGTCCACAGATAACACAGTGCTGTTTTAGCTGTCACTGATATCTGTGAAACTGCAATGTAGTGACAGAACCAGTTTCCTAATGACTCACTGCAAGTGATGGTCACAGACAGCAAAGGAACCCAGACCTGAGATGACACCATGCCATTTTATTGGGTTCGCATGGCAAGGTTTTGGGAGTGGGGGAGCTACAGGGGTGGCTTCTGTGAGAAGCTGCTAGAAGCTTACCCCAAGTCCAATAGAGCCAATGCCAGCTGGCTCCAAGATGGACCCACCACTGGTCAAGGCTGAGCCCGTCAGTGATGGTGGTAGCACCTCTGGGATAGACAGCATAGTTCAGAGCAGGGAGAAAAACCCTGCACAATGGCAGCCGAAGAGAGGAGCCAGACACCCAGACACCCAAGTCAGTGAAGAAGGAGGGGGAGGAGGTGCTCCAGGCACCAGAGCAGCAATTCCCTTGCAGCCCCCGGTGAAGACCATGGTGAGGCAGGCTGTGCACATGCAGCTCGTCGAGGTTAATGGCAGAGCAGGGATCCACCTGCAGCCTGTGGAGGACCCCATGCTGGACCAGGTGGATGCCCAAAGTGGGCTGTGATCCCATGGGAAGCCTGTGCTGGAGCAGGCTCCTGGTAGGACCTGTGACCTCATGGCGAGAGGAGCCCAGGCTGGAGCAGGTTTGCTGGCAGGACTTGTGACCCGTGGGGGACCCACACTGGAGCAGTCTGTTCCTGAAGGACTGCACCCTACAGGAGGGACCCATGCTGGAGCAGTTCATGGAGAACTGCAGCCCGTTGGAGAAGTTTGTGGAGAAATGTCTCCTGTGGGAGGGACCCCACGCTGGAGCAGGGGAAGAGTGTGAGGAGTCCTCCCCCTGAGGAGGAGGAGCAGCAGAAACAATATGTGAGGAACTGATCACAACCCCCATTCCTCATCCCCCTGCACTGCTGGGGGGAGGAAGTAAAAAAAATCAGGAGTCAAGTTAATCCCGGGAAGAAGGGAGGGGTGAGGGAAAGGTGGTTTAAAGATTTAGTTTTTATTTCTCATTATCCTACTCTGATTTGATCAGTAATAAATTAAACTGATTTCCCCAAGTTGAGTCCATTTTGCCCATGACGGTACTTGGTGAGTGATCTCGACCCATGAGCCTTTCGTTAGATTTTCCCTCCCCTGCCCAGCTGAGGAGGGGGGTGATGGAATGGCTTTGGTGGGCACCTGGCATCCAGCCAGGGTTGACCTACCACAACCCTCTGCTCTGCACGCTTACATACTGGTGGCCCTCTGGGTCTCATGGAGAAAGCTCCTGTCTCCTTGGGGCACGGCTGCCTGGCTCATGGACTCCCTGCTCCGGTCACTGTGGGAGAAGTGGATCGTCCCCGGTGGATTGTCACCGGTTTGTCTACAATGCAGATATTCTAGGAAACACGAGTGCGTGGCAGCTACAGTCATTCTTCGTCCATTGCCATCATGTGACTTCTAGGCAAGGGGTTCATCTACTGATCTTCTGCATCGTTACTTCTAGGTTTTCTACCGAGTCCTGTGGTCAGAGGAAAGGAAAAGAGAGGTCATATCCTGTTCTCTATCTTGTCATGATATCATATCATTACAGCATATGCCATGTCAGGGCATTACTGTCCTCGGAGTGCCGGGGACTTCCCTCTGCGGGACTGCGGGGCACCCTTGACACAGCACTTTTTCCATTGTGTCATGTCTTTCGGCAATGTTTCCGGCATGTTTCTCTCCTCGCTCGCTCTTCCTCTATAAAGTGGGCTGAACACGGGGATCCTGCATCAGGCACGGCAAGGGGCACTCTGCAGCAGTCGAGCCTGACTCTTACAATTTATCTCCACCCAACAGGAACATGAAGACCCCCATGGCTGCCCTTGCTGTCCTTTTGGTGGCTGTCCTCTGCAACCAGGTCTTCTCTTCTCCAGGTGAGTCCAAGCTCTCCTCTCTGAGGACCTCTCTTCTCTTTCTTTCTGCTGTATGAAGTCTAGCAATGCTTGGCAGCTCTCCCTTCCACGCATCTGCTGCAGGAAAGGAGAGGCACGTCTTGCTACTCTTTGGCTTCCTGAGGGAAGGATGGCTGTGGTGGAAGCCCCTGGTGGGAGCAGCACCTCCTCCAGCGGGGACCTTCTGATCTTCTGACTGCTTCTCCCTACTGGTACTTGTCCTGGTCTGGTTTAATCAGAAAACTTAACTTCTCTTCCAGCTTCTGTCAACTTGTCTGGTCCCTGCTGCTACCGATACAGCAACAAAGCGCTTCCCTCGAGCCGTGTGGTGTTGTATGAGCACACAGGCAGCCACTGCTCCCAGCCAGCTGTGATGTGAGTAGATCTCCTGCCCAAATCCTGGGGAACCCTGCTCCACTGAAGAGTGGCAGTGCCACATCTCACCCCATCTTGGCAAGGGAAAACACCAGCCTGGGCTCTCCTGTGTTAGAAGAACAGCCTGGAAACATCTCAGAGGCCAATCCCACATCCTAGGCAGCCAGTTTCTGGACCTCTCTATTAGATTTGAGCCAAGAGAGCTTCTGCTGGTCACCTGCCTCATCCCCAGACAGCGGGACCCAGGCAGGATGGTGTCCCAGCTGGAGAAGGCACGCTGGGGACAAAGTGGCTTAAGCAGCAGAAAGCAAGACACCTGTAATAACAACCTCCCCCCCGGCCCGTATTTCCCTGGGGCTGCTCTTCAGCTATAGAGGTGTCTGCTTTGGTGGGGTTCATCAGTGGTGAGGAGCAGGTGGTCCTCTGACCTGTCCTGTCCTCTCTCCTCCCTTCCCCTCTCCCCTCGATTTCCTTCTGCAGATTCAGCACAGCCGCGGGCAAGAAGGTCTGTGGCAATCCTGCTGAGAAGTGGGTCCAGGACATTGTGAATCACCAGAAGGACAAGGCAGGCAGCAGATGAGCCATGCCCTGCTCCCTCCATCACCTCCGGCAGGATCTTCTCTCATGGGCACCTTGGAGACACATCCCTTTTTTCTTACTGCCTATGGCTTTGGCAGACTATTTAATACAGCGTTTCGCTCTTTTATTTAAGTTTATGCAAAGGTATTTTTAATTTATTTGGCATTTTCAGTGAAACTTTTCATTCTAATTTGTACCGATTGCGTTGATGTGATTTTGTCTAATAAAAAAGGTGCAAAAACCCGCAGCTTCTCCCACCGGCTCTCGGGATGCTTCGCG